AAAAATTCTTAAGGCCCCTATATTAACCAGACACCAGTGAATAAGGGAAGCGACTTTGGAGATGGTCACTGTAGTCCTTGGACCATCTCGGTGTCCTGGTGGTCTCCTGGTGGTCGTTTTGGGTTTAGGGTTTAGGGTTGCAGTGCTTTTTTGCTGTTTGGGGATCTGGGCAGGCACCGCCCTACACCGATTCGCTGTCTTGTTGTTACTTGCTGCTGTGTTGTTTAGATAAGCTCAGCTCGAGGCAGTACGAGAAGGAACTCGACAAGCTGCGGAGGAAGAACACCGAGCTTCCCGTCCACGACTTTAAGTTTAGGGTGTCGGTGTAGGGCTGCGAGAGTTTCGTAGAGTTTGGGTTGTAGTAGTAGTTTCATCCTTTGGGGTGCAAAACTTTAGGGAGAGCTTGTGAAGCAGTAATTAACTTCTTAAGCACTACAGCTTTGACCCCAGACGCGAAGAACAAAACACCAAAAGTCCACAACCTTTGGCCCGCGCCCTAACCCATCGAAAGATCCCCAACCCTGAACCCCAAACATTCCATTTTATAGACCACCCCCTCAGAACGTTGAGGATTCGAAAGATGCTCGAGGAGCCTGTGTAGCCAGCACCAGCCAGAACCCAGAGAGTCCAGGATCCCAGGTTCAGGGTGTAGTCTAGGGGCCTTTGTAATTGGAATGTGCTTTGGGGTCTCTTTCTTTCGGGGCTGTAATGTAGAGTTAGGGTTTAGGATTTAGGCTTTGGGGTATATTATACTATAACTATGATAAGGAACCCCTGAAGCCCTCTTCTAATCATTGAGGCCCCTACATTAGGGCAGCTTTGCTCTTCGCCACGGAATTGAATAGACCTTAAATCAGATGCACACGGCCTGTAAAGCTCAGGGTCGTGGGCTCTCAGTCAGAAACCCTAAACCCTGAACCCTAAACCCTTGCATACTTACACCGGGGTATGCCATCCAAGCCTGGCCGATGCCCCGAAACTCAAAACCAAGAGCCAAAGCCCCAAAACCCAAATGTACGTGCTGAGGTAGGCCTTGTTCTAGGGTCTTGTCGCATGTATACAGGGCGCCCTGGGAATGTTGGTAAGTGTACATTTTGGGTGCTCTTGATGTGGATGCAAGTATAGGATCCCCAGTCGTACCCTGCTGCCCCTGCCGTACCATATGTATTGTAATAATACTGCTGATGATATAGATCCTGCATCACCTTGAGGACCCTTAACTATGGGAATTATGGTATATTCCTTGTCATGAGTTTTGCAGGGTTTGTATCATCAACGGTATATTAATAAGAGCCTACTGGGGAACCCAGAGGCGAGAGAAGCTTACGATCAACAGTCGGGCACCTCGGGCTCCCATGCACCAGGTCTTGGCTGGGTTAAAGTGTGCGGAAAGCTCTTATCCACGATCGAGGATTCTGAAATATTCTGAATGGTGTTCATGTCTCTTAGCCTCACCAACCCAGTTGTTTTATCACGCTTCTCCAGGCTGTTGCGCCCGAACCCTGAACCCAGGGGCTGATTTGTTTCTTTGCGCCACTCCTCCGTCGGAGATGCTGCATGTTACGTCGCTCTCCGGGGAGAAGTATGCCGTGCCAGTGGAGGACTGCGGCGATGCGAGGGCGCTGAAGGCGTACCTGAGTCGTACCTACGGCTTCCCGCCTCGCTTCCAACAACGGCTGCTTCTCGAAGGCGAGGAACTGGAGGATAGCTCCCCACTGGAAGCGTCCATGGAGCTGAACCTGCTTCTGCTTCCTTTGAGCTCCACCGGAGCTGACGAGCTCTTCGCTGCCATCCATCTTGGATCTGCAGCCCAGGTGGAGACCCTACTACAGATGCCCATAGATCCAGATCAAGCTGATTCATGATTGTCTACCGCTGGCATACTCAGCCAATTTCGGCAATCTTGACATCTTGCGCTTGCTGCTGGAGGCGCGTGCCAACACTAACTCAGCTGGTACTGATTTGTTGTGCAGCACAGCTCTGATGAATGCCTGCATTGCAGGCCATGCAGAAAACGTACGTCTGTTGCTGGAGGCCGGTGCTGACACAGACTTAGTCAGCAGTGTCGGCCACACCGCGTTGATGTTTTCGTGCGAAAGAGGCCCGGCCAGTGCTGTGAAGTTGCTCTTACAGGCTCGTGCGAGCACAAGCGTTGGCAGCGACATCGACCACCCAGCTCTATTGCTCGCCACACAAAATGGCCGGGGAGAGGTGGTACGTTTGCTTTTAGAAGCTGGTGATGACCCCAACATTATGCAAGAGAAGAAGGGTAACAATGGCGGCGGCACACCTCTCAGCTTCGCCTCCAGTTCCGGCCACGCCGAAGTGGTGCAGACGCTCCTTGCCGGCCGAGCTGACCCGAATCTCGGCGAACCTCGGGCTCTTGGCTTTGCTGTGGCCCAGGGCCACGTTGAGGTGGTGCGCCTGCTTTTGGAGGCCAGGGCTGACGCAAACTCGGAGGGCAGAGGCCTCCTTTGGTCTGCCAGAGGCCATGCGGGAATTGTGGCCTTGCTGGCTCCCCACGTGGAGAAAAGCCCAGCCACAGTGGGAGAGCGTTTAGCTCAAGGCAGCTGTTGCCAGGTTTCCTGAGGCTAGAAAATTGCTGCCCAAATCCTTATGTCCGCCGCCCGAACCTACAATCACACATTGAGAGGCCTCTGCAAGTCCATGAGAAAGAGTTGCGAAGCCGCCCCTAACCTAAGGCTGCAGTACAAGCTGAAGACCAAGCAGATCCAGTCCGACTTGCAGACGGAATCTCGGGCTGTCGTCATGTTCCCAGACCACCCAGTACCCCCGATTCAGGAACACACCTGACGTAAAGAAAGCGTGAGGCATTCCTTGTTGGGGTGTGGAGAATGGGATGGGAGGCTCGCAGTTTGGGGGGTTCAAAGCTGCGCTCGACGCAAGTTTCACGTATGACTTTATTGGGTTTGAGTTGCACTCGAGTAAATCTAGTGCCTCGGAGCATGTTTTTTTTGGGGGCTGCTTGCTCTGGCTCGCAGCTTGGCCATAGGGTGTAGGGTTTATGGGGCTACCAGCTTTGCTTTGCCCGGTCTTTCCTATTCGGCCATTGCACTGCAGGACCTCCTGGCCAAGCGGATGGATCGGAAGGCAGGCCAGCGTAAGGATTTAGGTTGTTTTTCGGGTTTTGGGCTAATCTATAAGACCCTGGCCTGTGAACCCGTGCCCCAAGGAACCGCGCGACCATGACCAGCTCTGAAACCCTAACCCCTAAACCCTGAGCCCTCGTTAACGGAACGGATGCGACAGCGCATCACCGCCCAGATCACCCCTGGTAGGGGGCCCGAACCGATAGTCAAGGAGGTGGTAGTAGGGTTTAGGGTTGAGGGTTTGCGTTAGAGGGTTTGAGGGGGCTTTAGGGTTTTAGGGTTTAGGGCAGATTTGCGCACTATGGCTTTGTATCAGCATGTCATCAAGGAGTAGAGCGATTTAGGTTTTACCTTGGCTCTGCCCCAAGAATCAACCCTAAACCCGAGACCCCAAGCATGAAGAGAGACCACCGATCCCAAACCTAACCCCTTAACTTTCGTTCGAATCTATACCGCGCTATTAAGGCCCCTTAGTGCTGGTGTTGAAAGGTCCCTTGAAGGGAGATATACAGCCATACGAGCTGAATGCAGATGATAGCTTGGGGTGTCCATGTGCCTTCTCTCGCAGCCTAATAGCAGGCCTTGCCCTGAACCTCCAACAAAAACTAGCAAGACCCTGTTGCCCTTGCAAAACCTCTGCAGTTTACAGATTTTGACTGCTAAAACTATTCCATCAGCCTGAGCCCTAAACTCTAAACCCTACAACCCCTAAGCCCTAAACCCCAAACCAACAGTCGCACCGACTGACGCCCGGAGGAGTTCGAGGAGGTCGGCGTTCAGGCGCAACCAACGGCCAGAGATCAAGCGACGGAAACCGAAGCTTTCGACCCCCCGCAGGAGACGGAGACGTGTTTTTTTTTTTTTTTTTTT